ATTGTTTACAAAAGCTTTAACAGTTTAAAGTTTCTGATCAGTCTCATTACATATTTTGAAGACGTTTCCATGTAGTTTTGTTAGCAGCAATTTCACGAAGTACTTGGATATCATCAAAGTTCCGTAATGTTAGGCCACGTTTTTGAAGGTCTTTGCGAAGTACTCCGAGAAGGTTGGTTTTATGACGACCGCGTCTACCTGGGCGGCAACACCCATCAACTGCAAATGACAAAGCACAATAGCAGGGGATGTTTCTTCCATTCTAAGGATGTGGCCAAACATTGACCATCGGGATTTTATGACACGCTCAGCTAATAGGTTGACGCCAGCGACTTTATAAAGATCATGGTTCCGGATGACGTTAGGCCATTTGATATCTAAAATGTGGAGGTGTCGTCTATGGGCTATGTCAAGATCATCTAATACACTGTTAGGAACAGACCAGCTGCTGTAGTTATATAGCATAACAGAAACTACCTGGGCTTCATAGACTATAAGACGTCTAAATACATCTTCGACGGTTCACCACTTAGATTGATTAAATAACTTAACAATAACTAAATCATAAAATATACACCAGTGTTAAAAATATGGTTTTGAGGTAAAAACCACTGGATGGTGGGATTGCTCTAAACCACAGGTAAGCAAAGTGCGGCCCGACAGCGATTTTTTTTTTGCGGCCCGCGAATATGAAATAAAAACCTTATGTGTGCGGCCCGCCAAACAACATTGGCTAGAAAACACCTTTATTTACGGCCTGACACCGATCATACGTAAAAAGAAATATTAAAACTGGGAATAAAGTGGTTTTTAAAGCAGTGCTTTGAGGTTTTTAGAAGCGCACTGGAAAGATCAAAGTTTGGGTGAGGCCCTCGGTGTTAAATCAGGAATTCACTTTGGCCCTCTGACCAATTTTTATGCCCACCCCTGCTCTAAGCGTCATCAGATGTGATAATATATGCGATTACAATATATTAATATATAAATGCAGGTATTAATTGCCATCATTATCATCTTCAAAAAAGTTCATTTTTCTTCGTTATTGTATAGATAATCATCATATCACCATCATTATTAATATTAAACATTTGACTAAATAGTTTATTTCATCTGCAGGTATTGTTATACAGTACTAAATATTTACTTCAGGTACTATATTTAGTGTTTTGTGTAGTATAATTGTTATGTACTGTATTCCATTCTTGCAGCTGCTGTTGAATGCAAATTGAAATAAATATAATGCTGAAGAGCTCTCTGTAGAACTTTATCAAACTCATTAAAAAAAAAAACCAAAAACACACACAAGTAGTAAATATTTCCTTTTTATTACTGTATAGCTGAAATATGTTTGTTCAGATAGTCCATAGTGTTCATTCATACAGTCTATACAATATATTATACTAGTTAAGTTGATACATTTAGTCTAGTCATCATGATTAATTATGTCGAACACTGTGGCGTTCAAATTATCCATGCTAAAATCGTTCCAAATGTCAATGGCGATCATTCACTCATTACCTAAATGGAACTTGCATAGTTTCATATTTAAAATCACATTATTCATCAGTTCATATGGTATATTTATATATTGATATATCATCACATAATCACAATTAGTACTGTACTGTTTCTGCTAATGGAAATTTTGTACATAAAAAACTGTTCAAATATTTGGCAACTAGCCAAAATTAAAGGGTGACTTTTTGACAACTAGGTGATATACAGTTCACAAATTTGGTTTTGAACAGAGCAGAGGATTTTATTATTCTGTGCAGACATTTGCCTGATTCTACTCTGGTCCTCTCGTTTCAATCCACATCCGTTTAATATCACTTCTGCTATTAGTTTCTCAGAAATCAACAAGACCAGAGCGTCAGCTAAGGTATCGGACACCGATGATATATGACAGGCAGAAAAGTCAATCTTTTTTATTATAAGCTTGTGTGTGTGAATGGTGGATAGTAGTTCTTGCAGAGCTAATAATGTTATATCACTGTTGGCAGAGACATCAAGAGAAGACAGCATTGTGCTGGAGTTCATTGATCTAAGAAATGAAAGATAATGTTGCAATAAAATAAAAATGTGTGGTTCAAACTGCGCATACCTGTATCCATTCATACATTCAAAAGACATTTATTCACTTCCATAGTACAAACCCAAAAATACAATAAGATGTGATTTAAAAGAACAACATAAATAAGCTATGCAAGATGACAAGATCCCGAGAAAATTGAGATCTTGTGATGGACATGCCTTAAAGGTAATTAAGTTAAAACAAACAAAATAAAGAAAAAAAACCAAAAATAAACAAAGATAAAACACATAAACAAATAAGATATAAAGAAAAAAAAAAGAAGAGATAGGGAGAAAAATAAATAAGTCAAAGCATAAATATATAAATAAATAAATAAATAAATAGAATAAATAACTTAAGTTCATGTTAAAGCAGTACATATCAATTATGACTAAGGATTGTAATTTTAATAGTATGACATTAGGTGTATTTTTAAACTTTTGGAAAATGTTTTTAGAGAAACAGCATTTGGAATTGGGGGAGGGAGATTTTTCATCATCATAGGGCCCGAGTATCTAATATTATGTTGAAAATAATTAGTTTTATGGGTAGGTATGTGAATATGAATTCTGGATTGAGTTGGGTAATTGTGAATAGAGTAATTGGGAATAAACTTATTGCATAAATGATTTGAAAGTATCCATGATTTGTGTGTATGCTTAATTATGTCGACTGACCTTGATACGGGCGTGAACGTTTTGAACTACGAATTGGCTTACACAAGCAGACAGATCATCAAGGAACAGCTTTATTATAATACTCATTTATAATCACAATTAAATTATAGTAGGACCCCTATTCAGGGGCCAAAAAAAAGTGTGCCCTAAATAGGGGTGTCCCAAAGGAGGGGGTTCTACTTGCTTTTATTGAAAATGAGAAAATGTTTTCCTTCCTGGTTAACTGACAGACACATAATAAATATACAGTTTTTCCTATATTCTTTGTAAAGACCTTGACAATGGCTAGTAATCAACTGATTTATTTTTGTAGTGAAAATTAACAAATATATAATTGTTCTGATCAGGATTTTTGGTATCAATTAAGTTTTTAGTTTCTGTGTTTGATCTCAAATAACAGAATTTGTATTTATTTTAGCATTGTTTACAGGTATGTTCACAAAGGTTTAATGTAAAGCAGTGATTGATTGATTGACTAAAGTGATTGCTTGATTGACAAGACTGATTTACTGATTGATATGTTAACTGATTGACTGTGTGATTGATTGATTAAAAATACATCTAAAATCATACAATTTTAAATTGTCAGTGGAACCATTTATGATTAATACACACCTTGCTATCGTGGTAACATCTTCATCAGTTAAGTAACAATCTCTTAAACACAATGTCTCCAGACAACAGTCAGCCTACATGACCAAACAAATCAAATGGTAAAAACAAAATGCATGTCCAACAGAAATGAACATTATCAGGTAATCGGCACAGAACATAAAGGTCTTAGGTTAATCATTTATATATGAAGACTACTTATTAAAGAAATATACAGGGAAAAGAAAAAAGAGAGTAAAGGGCATTAACAATAATAACAGCAACATCAACAAAAACATGCAGAATTATTATTTGTTTTTATTCCAGACATGGAAAATATAATTTTCAAGTTCCATAACCATCCTGCAACAAACCCTGTTTCATTTACATAAGCATAAAAAAAAGATGGATAAAAAGTAAAAGTATCATACCAGAGTGAGGTATCTTGAGAATTGCAATGCAACAGTATTTCCATGTGAAGTCTGGATAACTGAGGCTAGATCAAGTTTCTTTAGCGAAGTGTGAGGTAGACTTTTGAGAAGAAGTTCTACTCCAGTGCACCCAATGGTATTGTGGGATAGGTCGATACTCTCAAGACGTCTAAGAGCTTTTAATGCTTCATTAAATTCTCTTCGAAACAACTTCATAGTGAAATCACATGACTGGAACTTCAGATTAACCAAGCGAGGGCAGCATTCAATGACATGAGCAAGGTCCAATGAAGAATCATCAGTGAGAGAATTGAAACTGAGATTTAATTCTTCAAGAAGCTATAGAAAGAAGAAATAAAAAGTGTTACAGGTTCTGATATGACTTGACATATCAGAACAATGATGTCAACACAATGAACGATAGCATAATAAGTATGGCTTTCTATCCACCATTTACTCACAACTTTTCTTCAGAAATCAAACTCAATAGTTCCATAATAATCCATTACACAAGAACATTAATTTATTTATCCATATTTTGTTTAAAAAAAAAGGATTACCTGAAAAGGCTTCTGGCGTGTAGATCCCAGTGAAGCTGTGTCTTTGGCATTAACATGATCACAGCTCGTCGCATTCTTCTTAAGGTTGTCACTAACAAACCTCAAGCCTTCATGGGTAATATAATTGCACGATAAATCCAGCAAAACTAGATTGGGAAGCATGGTGGCCGCTTCAGAGAAACTCTGAAGTATTGCATCACTAATCGTGTTACCATGGAGATGAAGATATCGGAGGCTCTCCTGCAGCTGAAGGGCTGAGATTACCGGTTTTATGTCTGTCGTTCCAAGACCAAGGTTTGCCAATGAAAGTATCAAGCTGGTTTCACATAACTGCATTGCATTTATGATTTTTTGATTTGCATCTGAAAATAAAATCAAAAGGATGTATAAAATCTGCATTCTGCACTTATATAAACTGAAGGCTAAGTGTACTCAATTGGCTCATATGCGCAATAAAGAGATGAGTAGGAGTTACAACGGTGTACTTGACCATACAGTCCCTGCTGTGGACTGACAAGAGTACCTGGCACTGGTTTACTGGGACGGTCAGACATTAAGTGACTCTTAAGTGAGAAGCAAGTTACTTTACAATTTAGTCCACAGCGAGGTCAGGGAGACTAACTAACCCAGGGGAGAATAATGTGAAGCGCTCTTCGTTGTATTTGTTCTAGGGCTTTGGACTGTGCACCAGATATACAAGTACCCCAAACTGTGACAGCATCTTGGTGCAGAAAGCCAGAAAACTTGATCTAGATTTTGGTCAAAATTAATCCAATGCGAACATGACTTAACCCTTTCCAGTCTGCCCCATTACCTTTGCCTGAGGCTGTACCAAAGCTGAGAAATTACATCATCTACACTAAATGTTGGGTTTTTACTGGGCGCAGGATTTTATTTGGTCTGAATACAGGAGGCCCTTTACAGAAATACTCCTACATCACTCTCAAACAATCCTATAGAGGGCAGCCTAGCTATAAACAAATTATTATGAAATCTATACAGGGCATATGTACGATGCCCCTTGCTATAATGTATGGTCAAAGAGGGCGTTGTTGTGATGCCATACGACTGGAAAGGGTTAAGAAGCAAACAACCATAGAAATAAATAACAAACCTGTTTTAGCTGTTTTACAAGCTCTTTGATACCGCTGATGTAAAGGAGGCAAATCCCATGTATCAACCAGTGCGATTATCTACAATGACAACCAAAAAATTATAATTAACAAATATAAATGTAGGTTCTTGTTTCTGTTTATCTGCTCATTCATATTTTCAGGTAGAGAGCTGAAATACAAGTTACAGTGTTGGGGCACTTATCTTATATACAGTTGGACTTGTTTTATCGAATCTAAAATTCCATTGAAAAATTGGTCGACTTAGATAATATTCGACTTGCAGAATTTTCATTAATGGAAATCACAACAATTCGGCATTTAAAATAAGTTCGACTTAGAAATTATTCGAGTTAGGCAAAGTCAACTTATGCAAGTTTAACTGTAGTGCATAATATTTTTGTGTTCAATGTGTTTTTATAGGAGTGATGTTTTGCCCTACCTGATGTAGTATGTTCCCAAATAAATAACGGAAAAAAGTGATTCGTGTGGGAATGAAACCTACCACCTGCAGACGACTAGCCTGGTGTCCTAACCACTAGATAACTGAGCTAGTGTTTAGGAACACTTGAAACGTACTGGGTATTCAGTAAGATGACATGTCAGGTAGGGCAAAACATCACTTCTATTAAATTTCCTGATGCAAAGCAACATCAAAATAATGTATTTTTGTTAAAAATATTGACCAACCTCTTCATTGTGTGAAACAGAGTCAGTTACAATGTCCTCATCTGCAAAAATAGCTCCCTCTGGAGTTTGTAGTATGAGTGTTGGTCGAACTCCAAACATGTTGAAGTATCGTTGGCAAGCTTGATCGGTTAGCCACTGCATTGTTTTGTCGCTTGTATAAGAAAATAGAAAGAATTTGTCAAGAACGACAAGAACATCATATAATTTTTATTCTGGTTTATTTATTCACATCAAAAAATTTACATTGAAAAAATTACTCGTTTGAAGCAAGAAAGATGAACTGAGAGCAAAGTTTTTAGAATACACTGATTAACCGACAGCAATTTGAAAAACAATTAAGAACACAATGCGACAAAGAATGTGCACACAGCAAACCGTTTTTAATGATGATGTGCTCAGGTTGCCTTTATCCTACCTTTACCTTTATTATGTTGTACTAAAGCAATAGCAATTAAGTATTTATCATTAATACTCAATAGTATTATTTTTGTTTATTATTATTATTATTATTATTTTCATAATATTGACTAATTGCACTAACCTGCCAGGTACTGGTATAGCTAATGTTTTGTCCTTCACTCTGACACGAACTCTCATTGGTGGTCGCCGCAGGTCGCCACCATGCGTGACCTGAGGCACTGTCGACTGTTGTGTAAAACTTGTTTCAAAGTTAGGCTCTCTATGCAACTGCTCAGACTGTATTTCCTCTTGAGATGTTACAGAACTATCATCACTGTCGATCGTTACCGGTACGCGTTCCCTCGTAAGTTGCAGACTTGTCAAACGCAGCTGTTTAGTTCGGCGTCGTTTTGATGATGGTGGTCTAGTTGATCTCACAGACTGCGGTGTTGTTTTTTGACCTCCTCTCATCATTTCAAATCTATTAGACGCACTTTCTAGGTTTCGTTTTCTTTTTCCAGGTTGTATCCCCATGTCATCTATCAACCAATCATCACCACCGGTATATGTTTCATCAGGAATTAAAGCTGACTGCTTGTTGTTAGACTGAGTCGGCTCCCTATGGGATGTCTTCTTTTGTGACATAATGCTAGAGGCACTTCCAACAGCAGTAATCGCCTGCTGGTAAGCATTACATACATCATCAGGATCATCATCAAATATTGGCGGTGTTGGAGATGATGGGTCAGAAACATCCTCTGGATTTTCTAGAATTCTTGCAGGACTCAGTCCGTTGTTATTTACCAGAAGCTCATTTGAACCATTATCAAAATCATCATTACTCAACATGGCAACCTCTTCCTCCATCCTCACATCCCCCTGTAAATCTTCAAAATCCAGCTCAGAATCTTCAATGGCAGTAATCCTCCGCTGGTTAGAGATCCTTCTGTTGGCACTCCTTGAGAGTCTTATTCTATTAGGAGGTTGTGTAGGGGACATGCTGTCACTAACTGAAGTTTGGGTTTGACCTTGGCTGACCATCTGTCTCGGGTCACTGTCTTCATCAGCTGAAAACAGATCACTGTCAAATGTGTGTGTCTGCATAGGACCATTAGAAAATCCTATCGAAAAGAACGTAATGAGAGTATTTAAAAGTTTATCACAAGCCTTGCAGAGAATATAAGTGACACAGAGGACTGCTTCATACAATGTTCAAATAAAGTTTGTTGCATTTGGACACAAACTACAAATATTTATGTTTAAAATTATAACATAAATGGATACATTACCATATTACATACATAAGCTGCCCATGTTTGGGTGTCCTATGGGAAATTCTTATGCAGTAACCCAAAAATACCCTTTGGCCATGGTCAAGAAATAAAATAATTATAGCATGATTGCAAACAATAACCTACATAACTATAATGACCATTGATCATTGACATTTCCTTATGTATATACAACACTGCATCATCTTGGTACGTGAAAATGCATCAGTGTTTTAAATTTATGCACAAGCATACATTAATCTTTGTATATTTTACATGAATATTCATTATATTTTACCCTTACTCATGAATATGCAATAACCATACCATTTTTAACAACCTCATGGATGATCCTCTTCAGATGACCACAAGCTGCTCTAGCCTCTCTGTCCAGATCATGTTTGTAATTTGCTTCCCAGGCATAAAGTGCCTTCAATGGTGTCTGACCCTAAAATGTAAAATAAAATGCTAGCTTGACCTACTGAAAACATTCATTTCAAGTAAAAGATGTCAGTATAACATGGCGACATTTATACATTTGCTTTAATTTTCATAGCATATTTGTGATAAAATAGAGGAATAAATTCCAGAAACTGGCATTGCACCTTACCTAATGACGACCCCACAGAGGCACATCATGACTATATATGGGCATACAACAGTTTATTGTTAAAGAAAATTTAATAATTTAATAATAATAATAATAATTAATAATTTGTACAACTTTGTAAAACAAAACCTCTGGGTATAAGGCACATAACCACCCAAAATATCTTGATAATTCATGACATGCTGTTTTTTTTTTTAGCATTGGGTGATCTTTTATGAAAATTTTACTAATACCCAAGCAAGATAAGGTACTATTACTAAAGTACTAAAGTACTATTCAGCTTTGCTGGTTGGAATGCCCTCTTTAAGTTACGTTGGAAAATAGAGGAAGGAATTTTAGAAATTGAAAAATCATCTTACCTCTGCATCAACAGCATGTACATTGGCACCTCGACGTATCAAGAGCTGCGCCACTTTGAAGTGACCACAGTTGATAGCATCATGCAGTGGTGTGACTTTGCCACACAGATCTCCACCTGGATCATTGATGTTGGCTTTGTGGTCTAGAAGGAGTTCCACTACTTCATAATGACCATGGTTGCAGGATTCATGGAGTGGTGTCCAGCCACAATAATCACGTGGGTTCACTGGGTGTCCCTAGAAGATCAAGTTGAATGGAATATATTCAAAGATGAAACTTGAATAACTTTAATAATAATAATAATAATACCCAAATATTTATACAGCGCCAATTCCAAATTGAATAATCAAAGGCGCTGAGCATTATTACCCCTGGTCATTAGATAACATACAATGGCAAACCAGCACAAAGTGCAACCCTCTCTGCTCCCTGGGGAGTATACCTAGTCGTGGGCTACTTGCTTAGAGCACAAAACTAGTACATGCAATGCTATAACATCCTACCGGGTACCCATTTATATGCCAGGGTGGAGGGATACAAACGTAGACAAAGTGCCTTGCCACAAGGACCCAAGCGACTTGCACAGTGAGAGTTTCGAAAACACCAGACCTCAAGGTTTGGAGCCACAAAGCTGACTGACTAACCAACATCTTAACGAATATGACCTATGTAATCTACATAAAATGAAATAGCATTTAGTAATCTTTGGAAGATATTATACTTCTATTCAATTCTATTTGGGAACACTTCTGACATACCTGTTCCAAATATTTCTTGACTTGAGTCACATTGCCCTCTATGCAAGCTCTGTGTAAAGGTGTTTCACCTTTCTCATTACGTCGCATAAACTGTAGAAAAAAAAACAGAAATCTGTTAGAGCCAGAAACGTTTGCCTCTCAGCCCTAGTAAACCTGGAGATGAGTTGATGAGTCCTACAAAGGAGCTCTTCTTCATGGGTAGAAACAAGGACTATAAATCGTAGGCCCAGTCTACCCAAACTCTAAAGAACACAGGACAACCTTAGCAAAGAGCAGAAGTTGAACAGGTGCTGTGGTCCCACCTCACTTTGAACTATTGTTGTATCAAACTCACATGTGGTTTTTTATTTCGTTTCCGCACTCCTTCCACAATATCATTTTCATCTACTTCTGATTCTTCTATAAAATATAAAATACAATGCTAAATAATGTTGGCCACAGATTGGTACACATACAACATCATACATATTTACATTTTCATATAATTACAGGAAACAACCAATAAAAATGAAGAAGAAAATTCACTACTCAGAATCAAACCACTTATAACACATGCATAAATATATAATCTTGTTAGTTATTTGTTCAATGTTTACAGAACCTGATTCTGTAAATTGGAGGCTTTCTTCCTCAACATTCTGAGTCTCCTGAGATTCATCGTCACTGATTTCATCATCATCTGAGTCCAGGTCATATTTGGATTTCACCTTGTGTATCAGTTGTTGAGTTTGCTCCAGCAAAACATCTTCAACAAACTTCTCTTGGATAACTGCTGACACTTTGAGCACCCTCAACTTTGAATATCGAGAGAGAATAGAATTATTTTTATTTTCCAATAATATTGTAATTGATACTGGTTAAACGAAATTTAAAGCAAAAAATAAAGAAAAAATTAAATATTATATTCTCTTTTATTAATGAAAGGATATTTTGAATACTGCTACAATATTGTTGTATATGTTGCATATCAAGAAAAAAAAATCACACAAGTAGTTTAAAACTGACCTCATATTACCTAATTTTGTAAGTAAGCACTCATCACTTAATTATCGAGCCCCCATCAGCCCTCCCTCAATCCCATTTCTAGACTAAACATGCTCACCTGCAGTCTGGGGTGTCCAGCTTTTTGAGCCTGCTCCATTGCTTTTTCTAGACATGAGTTTATCAATGCAAAGTGCTTTCCCCCGTCTTCCTGAGCCTTGGCGATGTTCAACCATGTTCTTCCAGCCTGAATTAAGCAATATTAAGTTTATTCAGATGGTGTTTGTGTCAGCAGATTTAATAGGAATGTTCTTTTGCCCTGGAAATGTACTGAGCATTCAGTACAATAACACATCATGTAGAGCAAAACATTTTAAATGACAAATACCTGTTGTTTGCCCACATTGTGGCAATGTTACGCGACCATCATGCCCATATTTAGGTGTGAATGTGATTTGACATTTTAATGTCCATTATTATGGTTAAATCATGTTTGTTGGATAAAAATTATATAGACAAGTTAAAAAAAATAGTTACATCAACAGCATTTTTCGCACAAAAACCTTAATCACCATGATCATCACCTCCATTCCCATTATGATCATGTTAGTAAGACACCTTAACCAAACGCTAAGATACCTCTTTGTGGTCTCCTTTCCTCAACTTAAGTTCCTCCTGGTACATGCTGATAGCGTCTTCAAACTGCTTGTTGTCAGAATAAGTTGCAGCTAGTGACACATAGATTGGTATCAGTACCTCATCCAGTTTATTTAAAGACTTTGCACATTCAAGCTAATAAAATTGTTATGATTAGTAAAGTCATTTTACCCTTATTTGATTATTGTGATTCAGTTTGGGAAATTGTGGAAAGGGTTTATTAGACAAATTACAAAAGTTACAGAACAGAACAGCACGTGTTATACTACACAGAACAAATTTAGTTCAATGCATACTTCTCTCAGTTGGTCTTTTCTAGGTTAAAGGAGAAATAAACATTTATTCTCTTCTCTTCAAAACACTTTCACTTCAGTTGACTGTGTTCTACTATTTTACCAGATCCAGCTCTACAGGAAATTTAATTTTGTCTAAAGTCAGAACTGAATCTGGTAGAAGGTTTACTTTTAGAGGTCCTCAAATAAGGAATGCAGGGGGTAGGTAATTCTTTTTTATCATTCTAATATGTTAATTTTTTTTTTTTTATATTCTGTGTTGTTTCTCTTGTGATTTTAATGTTGTATGTGTACTGGGTCCTCTGGGAAAACAGTTAACATTTTACTTATGAGGTAGCCCAGTATAATGAACAAATAAATAGTTAACTATTTTCAAATCAAATATTTGTTTCGCAAGACAACAAGAATCCATCACTGGGAATGCATACATCGCTCATGAGCCAATCCTGTCTTCTTCTTTTTTTTATCAGTAGAGACAAATGCTACCTTTAAGGGCCCACTGAACCAAAGTATAGCATAATGGAAATAATCCTTCAAATCTTTGTCCGTCAACAGATTAGATTAGAGAGATTTTAAATATCAGCCTACTGTAAATGATTGAATAAGCGCCTCTTTTGAATAATCGTCGCATTAATATTTTTTGCTAAGCACTCCTATTGAATAAGATCCGTGGCATTTATTAAACACTTATAAAACAACAGATTTCTCATAGATTAAATAATACAAACATTCTGCTTATTTGGCCATTTATGGTGTTCTCAACAGACAGAGAGACAAATGGTTTGATTAATTAAATGTCTGAAACTGTTTCATTACTTCATAGTCTGAAACAGAATTATCTTACCTTCCATGCCACATTCCTTATCAATTCTCACTATACCATTTTCATATGTTATAGTGAAATCATATCTATAAATAACTTACCTGCTTTTCATAATAACTGATTGCTTTAGTATAATTTACGAGCTTGCAAAAAAGATCACCAAGAGACTCATAGATGGCTAATCTTCCTTCCACATCGTCTTCTGCTTTCATGTTGAGATCTTTTAGTAGACGACGTCCTCGTATGGCTGACAAAAAGAAATAAGCCATTGTACTGTGAATATTGCTTCAAAATATTGTCACTACTCTTAAAAAAAAATTTGTTTTAAATTATTCAACTTAAATAAATAAATAAACAAACAATAAAATCAAAATGTTGAAAATTTAAAAATTATGATAATGGCACCTCTAGTTAGCTGGAAATGCCAACTTTTTTTTAATTTTGAAAAAATTTTTTTTTTTGGGTGTGGGGGAAGGGGGGTTGTGCAGTGTTATGTTTAATTAAACAGTCAATACTACAGTGTTTACGTTTTGGTGTGATGCAGCATGGACTAATGTAATTTCATGTTTCTTATATATTTTCATGCTAGTGTTGTGTAGTGTGGTTATGTTTAATTAAAACTTTAGCAGGGGTGGATCCAGAATTTTTCAAACGTGGGGGCACAACAGGTTCAGAATAGATAAGTGAGAAGCACATAGCATTATTATGCATTGAAATTTTTAAAATTTAGAGGCAAAACCGGGGGATCCGCCCCTGTTTACCTGCTTTGAAATTGGATGTGACTGCTTCTCTCTCTGAGTGCCTTTGTGAACCTAGCTTGTAAGCTTGTTTGAAATACTTGCAAGCAGCGCTGAAATCTCCCATTTGTAGGTACATCTATAAAGTAACAATCAAACAAAAATTTATTATTTATTTATTTGAAAAGCAACAAGATAGTATAATACATACTCCAAGTATCGAAATGAACGCCATTGTGTCGGGATTGAATATTTCGACATTAATTATGTCATCATCAGGAATGCAACTAGCCCCCAACAAAAAATATTAAAGCCCCTTAAATCTCCTTATTTTGCAAGCTAGCAGCCCCTCACCTGATCATCGAGCTCCCCTATACATTCATGTCCCATCAGCTCCCCCCCCCCCATTTCAAGACTCCAAGATACACCAATTCATCTACAATGTTCAACAGTCAACAAAAATAGGTTGAAAGGGTGGCTTCATCTACAAACTTTGCAACCCAGGTGATTTGGCTCTCAACCCTGAATTCAAGTGATCGAACTAGGATGCCAGATAATTCATGTACAGTGGCATATCTAGGATGGATGCACCAAGGCCCCCCACTCCCACAAAAAATATTCAAGCCACCCACACGTTATTGCAACCTAGCATCCCTTCACCTGATCCTGGAGTTCCCCACTTCACATTCGCGCTCCCCTCACCCCCAATTTCAAGACTCCTAAATACACCAATTCATGTACAATGACAGCCAACAAAAATAGGTTAGGTTTAGCCTTGTGGTTGCATAGAATAATGTCAAATTTGCTTTTAAAAGATTTGGATAAAAGTTGTAGTATATTAACGATTCACATTCTACAATTCAACAAGTATATGATCAAACAATTTGACTGATTTGAAGGTACTGTATTGTATTCTGCCAAGATTGAGCCTAAATTACATATTTTATGATGTTTAAAAATGGCAGTTGTCTTTTTTTCAAATTTGATCAATCATGTTTCTCAATGTGCTTGGAAAATGCAATAATTGATTTGATTATGATGTAATAATGATGATAATTAGGCCAAAAAAAATGTTTGTTTTCCCATCCACACCCGCCCCTAACTCATTGAAAATAATAGGGGCAGAAAAACAAAAAACCTTAAAAAAGTCTTTTTTATTGAGCTTTTTTTTTACAAATAAAAAAAATGTGAGTGAATTTATCTTCTGAGGCCATTCTAGGCCTCTGTGGGTTATTTTTAATCCATCTGATGAATATATTTAAAAAAACACCTTTTCCACCCACCCCTTTTTATAATTTAAAAAAAAGATGGGCAAACAAACAATTTATTGTTTTAGGCCTTATGTTGATGATGATCGAGTCATGCTTGCTTACATTTGCAGAACCAGCCATACATTCACTCTCCATATATTTGTCAGAAAGTTTCTTTGCAACCTGGAGTGCACCTTCGTACATCCGCTGTGCTTGTGAGAATCTGTTATCACGCAAATATATTCCAGCCAGGGACAGCTTAGCTCTGTACAAATCCTCATGTAAATTCTTCTGTCTGCAAACAAGGAAGAAATCAAGTATGTCCACAAAACAGAGGTGTTACAATTGGAGGGTATTTTTGGTTTAATTAATGGCAATGTGTTTTCATGCCTAGAGAATTCATTAGCATAAATGTTTGTTTATAAGGTTTTCAAGAAATTGACTTGCAAATGAAAAAGGTTGTATAAGAAGGAGCATGTGGGACTTTGTGTAAAGCTCTATCCACACTATCAAATTTTGTGACAAAAACATGTGACATGCCCAAATATGGGCATGATGACATCACACCATGACCATATATAGGCATAGCATTACTATATATGGGTATGTCACATTTTTTTGTCAAAGGAAATTTGATAGTGTAGACAGAGCTTAAGGTGTTGGACTTCTGATTGTGAAATCAAGACCATCACTCGTCGCATTGTGTGTGTATTTGGGCAAGGCACTTTACTTACGTTTGCCTCTCTCCATCCAGGAGTATAAATGGGTACCTGGTAGGTTGGTATGGCATTGAACGTAAAGAAAAATGACAGGCAGAAAAGAAAGTTGCACAAAAATGTGTCGGTTTGCCAACTTAGTATCCAATGACCAGGAAAATAATGATGCTGGCGCCTTGTAAATTCTGATTTTGATGGGCAATATATAAATTCTGATTCTATAAAAAAAATAACAAAAAATAAACTTACTCTGCAATATACACAGCCTGCTTAATAAACTTCGCACAAGAATCAGCATTTTGCCTAAAATCATACACTAAGCCAAGGTTTAGATACAGTCTGGCCTTCATCTCCGCCAGCTCACGGTCCGACACTTTACCCCCAAGTCTACGGCAAATATCAAGGCTCCTTATGAAGGAACAAAAGTAGTACTTAAATATTCAATTCAATTTGTCATTGGATTACATGCTATGTTCTTTTCAGTATATTTAAATGAACTATGTTACAATAACAAAAAAGTCAAATCAGTTTTTTGTACCAATTCATTTTTGTGTCAATGTAATTGATGTCTTCTGGACTACTTTAAAAACATTGTTAGAATACAGTCAGAAAGGTAAATATGTGAAGCTTGATCTTCGCATCTTACCCTTGAAATGCATCATGGGATTTGTCCAGTGACACAGTCTTGTCAACAAGGGTGTCAGACTGAAGCAGGTAAGTTCTACCAATCGTTGCCAATGCACGCTGCTCTTCGACATCATTATTTACTGACCTTGCTTTCTCCAAATGATTTTGTTGATACCTGAATGAAAAATGAATAATCAAACAATCCATGAATAAATCAATCAATCAACTCTATAGAAATAATGTTCTTGCTTCTTTGCATAATTTAAGTAATATAAAATTAAATTGAAAAAGAGCAAATTGTTATAATTTAATTTGTTCTCCAATGACAGGATCTTGTAAATGTCAAGACTAAATTACAGTGAAATAATACAGATTAAAATAGCTTAAAATATTGAGTTACATATTGTTCAATTTTTTTTCTGTAAATCACAGATTCGATTTAATCTTTGAAGATTCCTTCCCATCATTGAAAATGTTGACTCACTTCAACGCTTTTGTGTACCGACCCATTTCACAATAGCATTCTCCAATCAGCCGATTAGCTACAGCAGAACCAATCACGTCTTTCAATGATTCTGATAGTTGAAGTTCGTGGATGTGCTCCTGCAGAGCACTCTCATATTCACCATGGGTTACGAGAAGTTGGCCAATTGCATTGCATGCCTCTGCTTCCTGTTTCAGGCTACCATTTGACTGTGCCCTTAATTTATCCTTCTGAAGACCTGGATAATAATAGTTAATAAATAAGAAACACATATTAATATCAAAAATGATGAGCAAAGAATAATGGTGGTCCTTGGGTCTGGATTAATTAAAAATTATTTAAAAATACTTAATGACTTTAATCACTTGGCAAAATTCTTTCTTGTTACTGGATATGGCATAACAGGGAGTAGTTATTAACAACTTCCTGGACATCATATAATATTTAAGCCTAGGACGTCCTATTTAAATTCGTAAAGTAAGTAGGCCTAATCCTAGTAATACTAATAGTATAAAATAAGTCACTAGGCCGAAGTAGAAGATGCTGTTACATCAAATTTGCCAGTGTTTCTGCGTCACACTAGTGAAAGCGACGCTGTCTCGACATCAGTTGTTGGAGCTCCCTCTTGAAGAACTAATCCAAATTATTTACCTTTTTGGCAATTTCAAAATCATTTACCAGTCAGATATATTTTTAATAAATAAATCTTTTATAATTATTAACGCCTATAATATTTGCAAATCGATGACGCACACTGACGCATAGGCCTATACTAGTGGGGTCCTCTGTCATAAAGGTTATTAATATTATTATATAAATTATTAAGTACAAACTACAAAGACAAAAAAAAACAAACATAAAAACAGTAAACACGTTTATTAATTTAAAATTTTAAAGGCGAACTGATTCGCGGCCGAGACGGACGGCACTCGGTTCTGATTTGGCATTGGATTGGCCTAGGCCCTGATTCTTGACCGAAATCGCGACCGAAGCGGTCCTACCAGACCACACCGCTAGTCTAGCTAGGTCATGAGGCTAGCCTAGGCCTAGTTAAACATGACATGCAATTAAGATTTTAAAAACATTAATAATTACGTTTCAGTTCCTTCTTAGCCTGTACGTCCATAGCCCTCGTGCAATCGATTTATTAACAGGAAATTTACACTAATACTTCGCAAAAAATAATGAATTTTATAACTCGCGCGGATCGTGTGAGGGCGCGCAATCTTTCTCTCTTTACGCATGCGCATATTATTACTGCACAAACAGCCAATCCACACTCTTCGGCCTCACCACACTCTTCTGTGACCGGTGTATTATTCCGCTCGTGATCGAACATGGCCGACGGTAAAGGTAAGTATTTGTATCAATTCCGTTGATCATTTGCAATAAAAATACGTAAATAAATAGGTTTGAATTGTATTTTTTTGAAAATTGTATTTAAGGTAGCTCTTGTGCATACATCTATCGTAATTATATTGTCAACGTATCCTTCGAAATGAAGTATAATTTAGCCGATTACCATAAGCAGCCTAGGCTGGCGCCAAGGTAGGAGGTGGTAGGACTAGGCTTAGGCCTAGGCCTCCTCCTCTTCTAGGCGCCTATCCTAGGCCGGTTAGCCTAGGACTACCCTAAAGAAGATTGTAAGGTCGGACCTGTCTGCAGTGCGTTGTGGGATCTCTTCTGCAATGTGGAAGCCTGAACTAAAGAAAGCTTGACCTAGGCCCTACCACTACTACACTGCTTCTTCTAGCCTAGCTAGGCCGTAGCTGGCACCTTTCACTTTTCAGGGGGAAGGGCATGTGATTTGTCTCCCCTTGTGCTACTACTGTTGAGGAGGAGCCGCTGATGATCTGTACAGGATCAGGGGTTGTAAGAGGTAGTTTGTGGCAGTGAAAATCCTGCGCGCAACCAACCGATGGGCTCCAGCGGGGGGGGGGGGCGGGGGAATTAACATATGCTCATGTCAGAACCCTTGGATATCAATCATTCATATCATGCCTGGCCCTTTAGCACTACTTTGAGCTTGCAATTTCTTTCTGTGTATTGTGAGTCTAGCATTAGTGCAAAAGGAAAAAAAACCCATGCTTGTTGAAAATTGATCTAAACCTATTTTATGGGGTAGATTTGTAATCAACATGCATGTAACATTTTCATTAATCTGTCTATGATCACCGAAATTTTACTGTTTAGTTTTCTGTGGCTTCTTGGTGCCAATGGGTGTACAATGTCTACCACACCCATCCTTAGTTTTCTACAGCTACAATCCTGAAGATATATGGCAACAACAATTTAATTAGCTTGGTCAGCTCATAGCTAAATATACACCTAAATTAATCCTTTAATCTGTGTCGTTATTTTCTCCAGCCCTAGCTGAGGTGCCTCTTCGTGAGGTGAAACTTGGCCAGCTCCCTAGATGGCTTGGAACATGTTCCTTTACCCCAGGAGCATTCAAGAATGCAGTTGTAAGAAGTGAGTAAAATCATTGGAAATTCTCGTTAAGCACTAGTATAGAGCTTGCAACGTTACATAATAATGTTGTGAGTCCGGCTGTAGTGCAACAGCAATACTTGCTCGAAATGCATCTTGTTTACCATTAGTTACAAGTTGAATGACAAGGCAATTTACATTACTTGTTAATAATTTTTACATTCATATAAATCATCCATTATTCACTTCCCATTAGACATTAATTAGAGAAGCCTGCTACTGTATTTGGCTAATATTTTCTTGGTAGAACCATTGGGGATAAAGATGAATATTTAATACCTGTTCTGTGGTGATGTTAATAATAATTATCCCCAGAAAAATGACATAAAAATCCTAAAAAAATAATCTTGAAGTAACATAAATATAATACTGTAGTGTATTTTAAAAAGGTTTACCTGGATAATGATAAAAATGATAGAAGAATTGTGATACAATTCAAAACATTCCAAGTATGTTTTATCGACAAAATAAAAGATTTCATGATGAATGTCATTTTCAGATTTCTGGCGTTATCATACCAAGTACATTAATGTGAGGAAAGGCAATGTTGCTCCTATAGGTCAATTTATTGCTCTGACCATCGGTCTTACATATATATGGCGCTATAAGAAAGAGAGTAAGTATCTCCAATCAATTAAAATTGTATGATTATTATAGTTGTTTTGTCACAACACTAGGTGGCGCCCTCTGTCGCCAACCAGACGTTGGTTACCGTTCATTACGCCTGAATGACTTCATAGGATTTCTGGAATAAGCGTTTTAAAATCAAATATTTTACCATCGAAATTTATTAAAAACACAAAAGCTTGCATTATATTACTTATTGAACACACATTTAATCAATTAAAATTTACAAAGAAAAACTAAGGTACAACATCTTAATAATTACGTTAGAAATTGGGATGAATTTTTTATTTTATTTTATTCGATTTCCAGGTGAAAATACACAAAAATATACATAAAACAACAGTACAATCAGCACCTGAGGGTAGCCATAAGTAGGATCAATTCGAAGAATTGCACTGTCAAGTGGCATTCCTAACTAAGAGTACTTAAAAAAGTATTAAAATTCAATATGATTGATCATTTACTTGAGCTCCCTTCTAAATCCTTCGAAGTGGAACAAGACTTTATTACGAACATCACGAGGAATATGATCCCAAATTCGCGGGAAGTTCACAAACGGAATATTTATAAGCATTAGTTCTAGCATAAACATGTTTAAAGGTGAGTGTTTCAGGATATCGGTCATTTATGACAAATGGTTTGTCAGTGGAGAAAATGTCGTCCGGTTGAACGCATTTTGCAACGATAGCAACAGGGTAGTATCACATGGTATCGTGACGTAACACTGTAGTACTCTACTGATTGTTAATTATTCAAATTTATTATTTTTGTACTGTACACCTTAGTAATTTCATTACAATTATTTAATATTTTATTTATTATTTTGATTCCTATTAGATTATTTTTTTTTAATCCTAAATTACTGTAATCGAGCCTTCTAATTTGTACTTAATTCACTTTTTCTAAGCATTAATTTAGAGCTTGCAGTAATCCATATATTACTGTGAGTCCGGCTCTAATGCAATATTAACACTTGTTCCTTACACAACTTGATAATCTCATTGCAAGTTTGTGAGAAAAGGCAAGTGACATTTTAATTAGTGCTTAATGATCATCCCTTAATATTTGTATTTTAAATATCATTTTATATCTGTTATCTTATGTGATTGTCTACACTCACTGCACCTATCTTTGATAGACATTGTGTAGTTTGGCAGCTTTAAAGGAATTTCCTCTGGTGCTGTGGCACCAGCAAATGATGTGTTTATTTTGTAATAACATATGTGGCAATGACAAGCCAAACCAGTCACTCGTCCTCATCGAAAATCCTGTTTTAGAGATAATGGCCAAAGCATGCTGGAATGTCAGAATTGTTGAAATCTATTTTATTGCACTAAACTAAACTTAATATATATCTATACATTATGTTATGCTGTTAATTTCTCCACTTTTAATTTTTAACAATTTGTTGATGGTTTCTGCCTGAGAAATATAAAAATATTAAATACTGTTTTTAAACAGATTTATGTTCAAATGATTCTTTTACCATTTTATAGCTCTCATAATAACTAAAAATTGATTTTTGCGATGAGTGACTGGTTTGGCTTGTCTTTGCAACATATATGCAACAGTTCTATGTAAATGTTATGATGCAAATGTTTTTTCTATTTTCAGAGCACCACAGGATTAGGAAGTACCACTAAACAGCATAATACAGACCAGTATGCAATAAATTTACTAAAAATATTTCAGGCGTTTGAATGACAAGGTAGAAGTAGAGCCATTCCGGACTAAATAAGAGTACCTATTACAAGAATGCTAAGAACTGTTGACCTATTCATTATATGGATGTTAAGACGATTTACCTTGCTGTGAACAGCTTTATCTTGCATTAATTATTGAATTATTTTCGAGAGAAAATTGTATTAAACAGATTGTTTATGTTGCAACTAGTGTGTAAGATTGTTTTTGTTTCATACTGTTGTTATTGTACTTCATAAATCGACAGCAGAAATGAGCTCTTCAATGTGGATCATCCAGATTCATATTTACAGTATATTTGTCAATAAACTGTGCTAACTCGGACACACTATATTTCTCGTTCTCAAAGCAAGAGGTATAGTATAATGTTTCATGTTTGCAAGCAACACTATTCGTCCAACCTTACTTCTGATGCGCAACACATAAATATGGTAACCAGGGCAGTATGCCATTCTTGAGAGCTATGAACAGCAGCTCAATAGGAGCATCAGGGTTGAAGCTGGCCAAAAACAATATTTGGCTAATTTGGTATGAGAATAATTATCCACATAGAAATTTAATTAGCAAAAATAGAGCTTTATTTCCATTAACTTTATGGCTAATTTTCAATGAAAATACAGTTAAACTTGCCTAAGTCGATCTTTTTTTACATGCTAAATTCTTGTTTTCTATTATGTTAATGATCTGCAAGTCAAATTTTATCTCAAGTCTAACAATTTTTCAATGCCATTTTATATACAGTATTTAGCAAAATACAACTAAAACACTAGAGCATGATGATGTAATAGCTAGTGCATTTTCCCCATCAGCCCCAATATTTTAATACCCCTTAACTAAGCTATATTTACTTGCTGAACAAATGGATAATAGCACATTCATATTTTGAAAGGACATTTTAATATAAAAAAATAATTTTACTGTAATTTAAATTGCACAAGCTGTATTTGTAGTTGTCCTTTGTCCTAAAAAATGATCATTTCGAATGAAGGCTGCTAAAAAACAATGCAAATAAGAAATCAAATATACAAAAAAAAATTCATTTTGGTATAGCAGATTTCATGGCTTCTTGTACAAAATCAAAGTTCTCTTTTGGTTTTGGTTTAGATCTAGTATTAGTCTGAGTTATAAACCCAAAGCTTCCTGTATTATCCTTCCCCAACTGAAGAGGAATGGCACTGCTTCCACTCAGAGTACTGGTGGAGAGCTGAGGAAACATAGCAGTGATCCTGTCTTTATCCAGGGATTGCTGCCGTTGCGGCAGAAGAGTCGTTTGTGTCTGGTTCATTACAATTTTATCATTTGTCGCACTTGAGACTACTTTCTTACTATCCACTTTAAAATTCATGGATGCTAGAAGATAGTCAATGTTATTGTCACTGGATAACAGAGGGTCTTTGGTTGACTCCTTGTACTGTGGTTGTCTTGTACCACCACAGGGTTCTCTAGAACAGCTGTTTGATTCCTTGACATTAGAATCATCAACAACTACTGAAGTGGTCATAACACTATTACCAACAATTCTACTGTTTCCCACTGTATTTTGTTCCGTAAGCAAGTCCAAGACTTGTGCACCAATAGGCAAATTATTTCCTAATGTGTTTGCTTTAATTTCTTTTGTCCCCTTTAACGTGTTATTGCTTCCATTTTCACTATCGTCAGGTTTCATCATCAAACCATCAAACAAAGATACCGAAAATTTGTCCGATTTATGTCCAATATGATCATCTACAATTGCATTTTTCTGTCCAGACTCATTAAAATTTGTTGGGAGTCCCTTTTGGAGGTTGTAATCATCTTTTAAATCATTACATACACTTTCATTGCTTGTGGTTGTAATCAAATCCTGTCCTGCATAAGATGCGTTTTTTGGTTCATTTCTCAATTCTTCTTGTTTAACTGCATTTTGGATTTGACGTAAAATCTAGAAAAAGAATATTAAAATTTGTTTCAGCAAGCAAGTCAGAGAAAAAAATTGTAATAGCACCTCCAATCAAACGCCACTACTACTACTGACCTTCTTTGCTTTAGAAACAGCCTGTTTACTGCTTGACTCAGCTAAAACGACCGTTTGCAGAGAGCCATGGAGCATTTCACTAACAAGACCTAGCAGATCAGTATTCAACAGACGTTCAATAGCACAAAGCGCCCTCTATTGATGACAGTAAAAAAATATTATACATTGCATCTTTTTGTTTCAAGTATAAAACATACAAATGATTTGCAATGAGTTATCTTTCTATGAAAAGGATTACACAATACTACAGATATTGTTTTGTTCAAGAGCCAATGTAAATATAGTGGCTATGTTATTTATGCATTTATTAATTGGCAAATAAAGTATACAGTATTAACAGTTTATCATGCAAATTGCAAATAATTTTACATTTTAATTCGAAAATTTTCTTACCATCTGAATTATGCTGTCATAGTTGGTTATTTTTTGTATCAAAAACTCAAGCACCTGATCACAGTTCAGTGTATTGCACCTAAGAATAAAAAATATATTAAATTATGAATTTACATACATCTATTAGGTGAGAATATTTTTATATACCTTGTTTAGTGAACCTGTCACCCCCGCCAATAACAATGATTTCAAATAAAAATAAAGTTTTTCTTTTGGCCAATTTGCACGCCCGCTGAAACGAAATAAAATGTAAATTTAGGAAAAAAAAAATTTGTCTTTATTTTTATTAAACCTGCCGCTGCCTTGAAATCTCCAAAAATGAGATATACAGTAAAATAAGATAATTGTATAATTTTAAAGCATTTAACCATCAAATTACTACGTGGTTTACATTCACCAATAAATTTTATTTTTATTTTCTCCTCAATCTGGATGTTTTTTGTAAAAGTATTTCCTAAATAAGAAAACGGAACACCCCTTCGAAAAATGGAACAGTCCGACCCAAGGCGCCACGTGCGAACCGTCTCCCTAACAAACGTCCTGATTCCCTAGAGACTTAGTAAGCAACGACGTTATTAACATATGAACATGTAGCTCTCCAATAATGTATCGAAAAATGAAAGCACAATATTTGTATGAAGTACCTTCTTTCTAGTTGATCAAGCTCCTGACGAGACGGTATTAGCCTGCCCTCGCGGCTCCCAACTATGTCTTCAACACAGTTAGCCTCCTGATTCCAGTCCTCAACAACAGCAGATTCCAGCCTGAATTATGAAGTGTTGATATTAGGTAAATCATGATAGATCTCATGTATGTCACCGCTGTGGCATAATTTTACACTAATAAATGAATTGCATATCTCCCAGTAGGAGTGCCTGTTTACTGCTTGACATCCATGCTTTCTTTGTTGTGCTGTCTAGTGAATAACTGTACAAGTAACAGATTGTTAACTTTTTTGTTTTTTTCTAGGACAGGTCTTATCTAGGCATATGACATCATATTTTGTAAGCTTACTTTGGAAGACTATTCATTTTTATCTTTTAGCTTATGATGCGATGCCCTTCATACACCTCCACCAGATTTACTCTTACAAGTAAATTTACAGACAATAGTTAAGTATCTACTGACACCTGCAGGGGCAGTAGTCACACACACACAAAAAAAAATCCATAAAACATGTCATTTAAAGGGATAAAATATGTTTTCCTTATTCACAGAACTTTTACTACACAAATACTTAAGTTAATTATCAGCCACTTCAAGAACTTACTTCTCTGACCACGGTTCACTTCCATTACTATGACCACTGCTAACACCATCGGATGATCCATCGTCCTCCCATCCTCCCCCTGCTTTACCACCTGTGGATATAGAATTATACTGAAAATAATGAGGATGGATAAACAATCAATTCACTGGCCTTGCTAAATATGGAATAGTTATTCGTAACTTTTGTTTTTCTTTTTAATTGGTTCAAGCCAAAGCCAAGCAGCAAACTTAATCCCTGTTCTAAGTGCCATATCCAATCACAAACATTACAAGGCTTAGGGAGTGGAATGGTTTTTGGTCGTTACCATGACAGGAATTGAACTGAGAACCCTGGGATTGGAAGGCAAGCATCTTAACCACCAAGCTTTTCAACAGCACTAAACATAGAATAATAGTATAATATGCCTAACTACAAAAATAAAAATTGTTCATTGACATTTTAAGGTAAAGTAGAAAATATGTACAGTGGTGGATCCAGGTTTTGAAAGAGGAGGGGGGAGGGGGTTTCAAAATCTTTCCAAAAAACCCAAAATGAAAGGAGGGTCTGGGAAAAATGTTGATTCCTAGATAGCCGGAAATGAGCCTTCCCCGACTTCTGAGGAGTCTTTAATTTCTTTAAAATTCAAGGTTTTCCCCCTCTTGAAAAAGTTCAGGTAATTTTATCTCATTCTTTAGGCCTATAGATAGAGAAAAAAAATCAAAGACATATTATTATATTCCAACAATATTCAGTAGTTAGATATGTAGTCTTTCTTCCATGTACCGATAAGCCTGAAGAACGCACTTTCATACATAAATTATTACGATGTCGAACCAAAAACAGTGTGTATAATTTAATTGAAGAAGTTGGGCTAAGCCTAGTTTGTCTGATCTGCCAACTTATGCCCATGGAGGTTAGTATGCCTTTTGTAAGCTACGACCCAGTAGTATTTTGTTACATTTCTTCACAGAGGGGGGTTCGTCTGAGCCTCCCCTGGATCCACCACTGATGGATATACTTACCTTTATATATTATCCTTGCTAGGTCAGGATTTTGAACAACTTTATTTTTCGTAGATTTCTTTACATCTTCTCTCCTACCAGCAGCAGTACCTACATCAGGTGTGTTCCCTATTAAGGATCCCTTGTTAGTACTCTTGTTTGGGTAGCTTTTGCTGGTACTGCTCGGTATTGCTTTATACACTTTTCCACTGCAGTCGGAGTGAGTACTGTCTTCTATTGCTGAGAAGCTCTCTGTAAGCTGTTGGATACCATTTTTAATTTGATCTGTAAATGTCTCTGTCACAAAAACAAATATTTATTAATGGATGTTCACATGAATAAGTTTTTTAACATGTTTCAGACAGTGAAACCTAACATTTTGTACGATTAGAACAAAGCACCTTAGGATTAGAAGCCAAGCATGTTAATCACCAAGCTTTTTCACCACCCAAGCATTCTACATTGGTTAGCTTTACTTAGTGGCATAAGGGATGCCACTTTCCCATCTCTAAGGCATTAGAAAGTAAATAAATGGCATCAAAGTTGTTATAAATCACCACATATCACCATTCCTCTAGGTAGCTCGCTGCCCACTTTTCCATTAGTCCCCTATCACCTCTCCCATAAATAAAAATGGATGAATATTGATTTCAAAATAAATCAAGATATTCAATTTACTTTCTTGTGCTGGCTGAGTATTCCCAAAGCCTTCCATGGTTGTTTTCGATTTATTCACACCATATCCTGCTGAATCCATAGAACTTCCAGTGGTATCTGCTTCTTTCTCTGTGTCAAACAAGATGGTTGACAATTCCTTTGTGAAATAAAGAAATATGAATAATATCATTCTCTTTATACTACATAAAAAAAATATAAGTAAATCCCTAAATATTGATTGTCGAATATTAAATAGTTTAAATTAACAATAACAACAACAGCAACGACAACATCATGATAACAATGACGACAACAATAATAATAATAATAATAATTACAATGATGATGGTGAGGATGACGACAATAACAATAGGTTAGTACCAACTTTTCTAAACATATATGAAAAACAGAAGAAAAAAAAAAAAAACGTACTGAAGCAGCTTTTCTGACAGCAATATATGGTGCATTATCATGGAGGGCATGCCGAGGTCCACTGTGCACTGAAAAATAAGTCATCAAAAACATTAATATTTGCTTTGTCTATGTGCAGCTAATAATTGAAGAACAACATAATGCAATATTTTAGCTTTTATATTGGCCTTTTAGCTCTATCACATTAGATTTAATCATCTACACTAATATTATATATTAAAATATATATATATATATATATATATATAAAATGAAATATATATAAAAAAATAAATAAAAATAAAAAAGAAAAACATATAATTCTTCTTATTGTGTCCACAAATTTTCTAGATACTTAGTTTGAGCCAGAGTTGGACAGTTTCTACCACAATCATTGTATTCTGCTGGGATTGTATGATGAGACGAGGATGCTTCATGACCCCAGCACATAATTTGAGAAGCATTTAATTATTAATTTCACATTATGTGCAGGCCTGATCATGTGATTACAGCCAACCACAGAACAGAAAGCATGGGATGTTTAGATACTTAAGGGATATAGCAGGATGAATAATACAACATACTGGTGAAAAAGTAGTGTGGTACTTACTGGTTGCTTGGTTGATGCCTGTTGCTCTACGGCGCAATCCAGCGGCAAAGTCTGGATGACCCTTCTGCACTAAACGAATCATGACGTTGAGAACCTATTCAAGATTCAATATTTATTACTTATTAAAACTTAAGAACATGCTTAGTAATAAGTAATTCTCCCACACAACCCAGTAGGCTTAAAAACTAACCTCGGTACGGAATGGAATTTTTTGGCCAACAAACCTTCTACATGGTCAGTTTGACCAGAAATACCCAGGACGAATAACCAGTGTTTTGTCAAAGCAGAAAATTCCCATGCAAACTGCACCTGAAATGCTTGCATAATGTTTGAAAAGGGCACATTTTAAGCTTTAATATTCTACAATATAACAGTAGGATTATATATTTGGGACTACAATACCTTTAGTACACACGTACAATACCTTTAATTTAACATAACAGGAACGGTATTCCAATCTTTCCACTAGAAAATCAAGTAACGCTGCAGTCTGTCCTGGAGAGCCAAATGTGAGATCTTTTAAGATTGATGAAGGATTTCATAAATGAAACTATGGTGAAGAGCTACTCACCAGATTTGTATCTGGGTACATGATAAACAAGAATTTTCAGATTTGACCATGAACAGTAAATCAACATCATAACATCATTTCGAGGTAAAACAGTTAAATGGAACAGATGATAAGGGGTAGCCAATCACAAAATACATTACTGAATGAACATTATTCGTGAATTGATATTGTTGTTTGTCATATCAATACTAAAATTGTAACAAAATTAAGATGTACTGTATCTATGTAGAGACAGTAATCAGTGGTGTATCTAGGGGAGGATGCAGTGTGCATGCACCTCCCACCACCCCCCAAAAAAGCTTGCATTCCCCAATTTCTTCCCCAATTGAAAATGTCCAAAGCAAAAAATCATGTTCAAATAAATAAAAATCCCCTTATTTTGCAAGCTAGCACCCACCCTCTGGCTTACTTAATCTTCGAGGCCCCTTCATCTTCGCGCGCCCCTCCCCCATTTCAAGAATCCTAAACATGTAACTCAGCCTGACAGGAATTAAGTAACCAGTACAGGGATATTGGTTGATGAATCATTATTAAATTAATGATAGGCTAACGTCATTGTGACCACTTTTTGTTAAGTTCCAGGAAATATAAACCTCAAAGTTTCAAAGGCGACACCACAAATTACGGTAGATCCTAGGGGAAGCAAAAGGGTGAATGCCTTAGGTGTCATGCAACTGCATTATGAGGGGCTACGTGACCGAATGCCATCCGTTTCTGCCACGAACCTGTTCGGCCACAATATATTTAACATCCAGAATTTAAGTGTGTTTGGTTTGTCTTATTAAAATATAAACTATCCTTAGTTTAGAAATAAATAGGTTTATAATATCAATTACCAGTGAGAATTTTATGTTTGTAAAACTATTTAATTTATGCTCGTTTCTTGTATGTTAACCAGGCCTGGGCTTTCCTTGTCGAATTCACACAAATAAAAATTATGTTTGCCCTTTCCACAGTCTTTACTTTAAGTCAATACACATATAGTATTTATTATATTATAATTATCAGTATCACAACATTTATTAGTCATTCAATGAATTGAATTGAATTGAATAAAAACATACAATACAAAATGTGTTCGATATATTGCAGACGAAAATGTTCGCAGCCAAAACGGTCCTACACCTACGTAACCGACTTGAGGCTCTACAAGATAACTGCTTGCAGAAGAATGAAATAAGATGTGTTAAACATAAAAGTACTAGCCATGTTGCTATGATATTTAGATGTCATAGAAGTAGCTTTTTTGATGCTCGAGCAATAAACAAGTAGAATTCATTACCAGAACATGTTGTTAAAAGCTCTACAACAAATACATTCAAACAACTACGACATTTGCACAAGTAAAAAGAGAGGAGGCACTTAATACGAGCTATAGCTCATTGCTTCCTTAAATCACAAAAGGTAAGAATCACTAAAGGTAAGAATCACTAAAGGTAAGAAGCTTCTCAAGAGGTAAGCACCCCTTCTTCTTCCGTTCATTCAGTTACCCCTTTCATCTTATTAAAGATCTGCAACTCTCTGGTGGAGATTGGGCAGTACACCGGGAGACAATCCCCTACTCGTTTCCGAATAGTGTCTGCGTTAATTAACATGCACACAGGCCATAATGCACACAGGACCAACAGCTGAGACGTCTCGTCCGAAAGACGGTATGCTATCGTAACTTGCATTTCAGCCCTCCAGATGAAACACAAGGAAAGCAGCTATGGGAATTGTACCGGGGACCTAGAGATCTCCACGGTTCAGCGCACACACATTGCCTACCACCAGTTGTTTAGCCTACCCAGCTAAAATGATATTCCCATTCACGAAAGGATACTTTTGATATCTTCATATAGATACCCAGGCGTTGGACTAGAATCATCAGACGTGGCCTTCACTAACATGGGGGTCTAAAAAATTCAAAGAGAATTCATAATAATTAATAAAGACGCATAGGCATTCGTAGTAGTAGCCTAACATTAACAATAATTAGCCAGTACAGTAATCTCAAATAAAGTTACAATAAAACGTAAAACTAAAAGATATGTGCATTGGCCTCCATCCTTCTACAATAGAAGTAAAGATCCAGGTTTCAGTGCTTGAAATTGCTACAGAATCATCTATTTTTGTAGGTTGTCTAGGCCCAGATGTTATATGCTACTGCGTAATTTTATAGGACTGAAACGCCTCTGAAGATAGCTTTGTCCCTGTTTAAATTGTACTGGAAATACGAAAGTTTGCAGACCAAGGGCTAGCCTAATTAACAATTAAAACGTCATGTACGAATTACTCGAGTAACTATGCAGTTACTCAAACCTTACATATAATTAGTACCTTATTCAAAAACAACATTTTGGACGTTATGCCCGCCATTATATGTGTGTTTATGAAGTTATAAGCAAACACACAGATTGTTGTTTTCAGTCAGAAATCGCATTACTAAAACACAAGAAGACGACCCCTGTGGGTCTTCCAGTGAACTAGTCCAGTAAGCAACTTCGGTCGCATATAATTATTGATCGCACTACAGCAGACACTAGTGCCATATGCGCGGTTAAATGACAACAGACGACATGTGAATAATGATGAAATTTGAGGCAAGGGAGTTAGAAGAGTACGTTTGTATCACGCTTTATTACCTTACTGGGTCAGCATAAATATTTTGTTTAGTACTTAACAATACTTTAATGAACATTTCATTTTTTAACTGTTGATTTCTAAATGAGGAACTAGTTAGGACCACTTTGTACGAGGCTTTTTCACTCCTCCCAGGTTAGGCCTATATGCCTAGCCTAGAGAGTGGCTTGGCCTATTTTAAAAACTTTTTTAGGGGACGCCCTGGATGGGCTTAGAGCCTGTAGTAGCAGTACAGTCAGTCAGGGGGAGGCTAGGCCTAGGGTGAAGGGTGAAGCTGGGGGTATTCTCCTACCATAATATGCATTGGTTATTTCAGATCACAGTGTCAATATTCAAAGAAATATAATCATTCATTTTATTTTTTTCAGTAATGTAATAATAGTAGGCCTATTCATAATATATTATAATAAGTATTGCTGATACTTAGTTGAGTGTTTAAAATTTAATAGAGATCAACAACAAACATTTTACCTCAAAAAAAAAAATTTAGTCCGCCCTTGACAGTTAACACATTCGCTGCCAGAGAGGATACTCGTCTCACTAGGTGTTGCTGAGGGCGGTAGGGATGACTATACTCATCAAAACGGGGTTACATTGTAGCGTTTATTACTGTACTACAGGTACTTTGTTATACTTTGTAGAACCACAGACATAACGGCTGGTAGTTTGGGAAAGATATACCTAGACGATAACGTACAAATAACGTATGTATGTTTGTTGTATTATGTTAATGGCAGTACACTCAATTGCACGAGTAGCGCCCTCTCAAATAAGACCCATGCAAAAAGTGGACAAGAAAAAATGCACTGGCAGCTGCAGTAAAAAGTGCTGCCCCAGTGCCAGCGACAAGTTTACTTGTCCCCTAATATTTTCCTGCCAATTTATTAGACACACTATTTTGATGGTATGACTAGATAGAATTTAAAAAAAAGTATGTTTGTACATGTAAACTTGTTTTGGCACACGGCAAGGAACCTAAAAAAAGAAGGTCTGGCAGTCAACATGTTAAATAATTTCCTGGAGAATTATATCGTTAATAAACTGTTCAATTCATCTCCTGTTTAGGCGTATCAAGATGAGATAGCAACAGGAGAAGTAACAAATACCATAGAAGAGTAAACAAGATGGAATCTTTGCTAAAGCAGGTGTGAAAACAAATTTATATTTAATTAAGCTCTGTCCAGATTATGACATTTTTTGGACAAAAGCTGTTGTATGCCCATATATAGTCATGGTGTGTCTATATATGGGCATGATGTGATGTAATCATGACCATATTTAGGCATGTCACATGTTTTTGTCAAATAAAATTTGATAGTCGGGAGAGGGCTTTACAGTATGATACAGATTATGATTTAGAGTCAGTTATCGTTCGTTCACGTGAATCACAGGCGCTACACAGTTTTTTTTAATGGAGCTTCCTTTTAGCCTTAAGTTGATTTTATTAATTGACTGGAACAGTCATAGCAGGTTAGCAGCATGCCTCCCCCCCCCCCAAATTTATACTCCTGGGTAAGAAAGGCAAACTTAAGTAAGTGTCTTGCCCAAGGTCACTAGCAATGCGACGAGCATCGGCCTCGAACTCCTGATCTCAAGATCAGAAGTCTAACACCTTACACGCTGTGCCATACGCTCTTACGCAGAATCAAATATAAATCAATTATTTTAGATGTACATTATCTTCTCGATTCTTTAGTACTGAATAAAATCAGTCAACAAACCATTGTCTGATTGAGGTGGATAAAGTGTTATGATGATCATGTTGTAATTAAAATTTCCTGGGATGTCATGAATGTTACTTTAAAAAATCTTTATTAATTTGTTTACCATTTATCAGGTGTTAGAAAGCATTCAGTCAACAGGGCTTGAAGACCTGAGCCCGGAGGATGTTGGCAGATTACTAGCTGTTGGTTCATCAGAAACATTGGATGAGACGCTCACTTTAGGTGATGGGGACTTGGAAAGTTTGGAGGAAGAATGTCAGGAACATAAACATGAAATGACGGAAGATATAAAAAAGGAATTGGAAAGAAATAATAGCGGATATCCACACGATCCTCTCTATTTGCACTTAGCACACAAACTCAGGAATTGGATGGATTCAAGGTAAGAAAGTGTAGTGACATAAAGTGTTAATTTTATGTATATTAATAATGAAAAATTAAAAAAATATTTATTTATTAAATATTTATAAAGCACCAATATCACCAAAACAACGTAAAAATCAAAGGCGCTGTGCACGTTTAGATGATAAAAAGGTGTGTTTTGTGTATTATCACTTTGTGTTTTGTGTCTCCCACATTGTTTGGTATTTTAATTATAGTTAGGAAAAATAAGAGGGCCTTATGTTAAAATCAAAATCTAATCACCCCCAAGTTGAGCCTTATTTCATATTCAAGAGGAGATTGGCTTATACCAAAGAAACTTAATTATTAATAATCAATTGTAATAGCTATGTATGCCTACTTCCTTTTGCTATCTAAATGGATAAGGCATCAAAGTAGTGCAAATAGAATCTCCATCTTTTTTATCCCTGCCTGTCCATCGTCTATGGGTATTTACCCAAAAATCTTGTTGGAGCTGTTTTTTCTGAAAGGGATAGAATGATCAACAATTTATTTTTTATAGCTGTTGTATGTTTTGTATTTTACTTTATTAGAACATTTCTTACTCTTTTTTATTTTGTTTTTAGATCACCTGATGCACTTACACTTCCAGATTTTGAATTTTTAAATGAAGGAGAAAGTGTTACTGAGAGGTAAATTATATTACTTTAATTATATTATATAATCATATATAATAATTATATTAATGATGATCATGGTTCAGGAATTTTACTGTGTATAGTTTTGAATTATAATTTTGTTTCAATGTAAGAAGGTCTTATTTAATATAAAATCAGTGTTCTGTAGATAGGAGGTAGGGAAATGTATTTGGTGACAGTATCTTCTATGTAACATTCCTGGCAACTACTGTTAATTTATTTGTAATGTTGTTATGTGTACAATTGCCTCAGTATAAATAGCAATACAGTATATAGAACTCTGTCTACACTATCAAATTTTCTTTGACAAAAAACTGTTGTATGCCCATATATAGCCATGATGTGCCTACATATGGTCATGATGTGATGTCATCATGCCCATATATAGCCATGATGTGCCTATATATGGTCATGATGTGATGTCATCATGATCATATTTAGGCATGTCATATGTTTTTGTCAAATAAATTTGATAGTCTGGACAGGGCTTAAGTGTGGTTATTATATTTCTATCGCCCTTTTAGTCCACTATAAAACACTGTCTTAAAGAACTTACACAAGAATAATACAATTATTGACAAGCACTGCTTGATCATCCTAGAAAACAACTGTTTGCTGCCCTCACTCCAGATGTTTGTGAGTTTAAAGATTTATGGAATGAGGACCAATTGGAAAGAAAAAAACAAATGTTGCTGACAATCCTAAAGGTATGAATGCATATTCCTAAGTTATGATTTTTAAATATGGAAAATATCAGACATTTGCTTTTAAACCCACTTTACAAATAAAGTACAATTTGTTCGTTTATTCAGATTCACGTTATTTGTTATTGTGAGTACAATATAAAAGATTATTATTACTATTACAATTATTATTTATTTATCCATTCATTCATTCATTCATTCATTCATTCATTCATTCATTCATTCATTCATTCATTCATTCATTTTTTTCATTTATTAATTGTTATTTTAGATCAGAAGCAACCAATGTAGTATTTTACTTTATCTTACTTGCATAAATGCTTATATGGCCCACTCTTCTTCAGGTGACAGTACTCCTTTGTGGTGGCGTAAATTTTGCTGAGTACTGATCCAGTCTGTGTGCTAGGTCTAAATTTAATGTATTTCATGGTATTTTTTTAAAAAATTTATTGTCAGGTCTTTTATTGATTGACTTAGATTTCAATTTATATATTTATTTAGAAATTGAAGAAGCGAGGAATCTTGGCCTTACTTGGAATGCGGAGGACAGTAGGCACTCTTGAAATGTTTCCTCCAACAAGATCGTGTCTACAAAACAGCTTCAACCAGCGACATAAGTATGCTAATCAATCAGTTAATTGTCTTTCATACATCCAACAATTAATCAGTCAATCAGTCAATTCACACAAATATATACCTTTAATCATAGGCGTAGGCAGTATCGACCTTAGGGGTTGCGGAAAATGTGAATGCGGAACTAAAAACCTAGAATGCGCAACTAAATTCCTATTCTAATGAAAACTTACGGTCATTTGAGTATTCTAGCCCACTTACTGGAACTAATTTGCATCCACATCCCATGGTCCCCACGCCTACACCCATGCTTTAATAGACCGAATTAGCGATCAACACTGTTCAGCTATAGTGGGTATTCGAACCAAAACAAACGAATGAAGATAGGCGATTTACACAGTAATTTAAGAAAATAGCCTTTACTACAACATCTCATACACGCTTTGTGTGTAAAGTTGAGTGTGATTTAAATTAACAGAAACCATTGTTACATGTTTATGAATGTAACGTCATCTTTTCTCTACGATAGCGTATGCCAAATGTGAAATATAACGAGAATAAAACATACTATTTTGGGAATAAAACGTACATTGGTCGCGTCTGCCTGTGTTACAGCACGACGACGGCAGCCGTGTATTCACTCACAGTGAATCATGGCGTCGGTCGATGAACGTGCTTGTTGCAAAACTCATGAAATGTGTTGTACTTGCAGATTTCAAGGAGAGCTAAGTTATTCAAAATTATTGAATAATGTTCCTAAATTCACACCAATAACTTTGGCAGACTGGATGTCTAAACAAGTAAAAGACTTGATGACAGCACGGAGCTGAACGTTTACAGTCAGGCCTCACTCAATCATCACATCCAGCCATGTCGCGTTGTCGTGCAACAAGTGTCAGGGGCCGAGGCCTAGCCTGTAAAAACTCTACGTATATATAACTTAATTTTACATTAAAATCAAATCAAACGTCTTCTGATAGTTCTATGAACCTTTCTTAACCTACCAATGTTTTAAAAAGTATCTTAACTGCGTACTTTGGTTTTTTTGCTTGTTTTCCAGGACCATACAAAAAATCGCAACATTATAGAATAGGACTTTTAGGCTCTGTTTACAATTTTATACCCAGTCGGCCAAATTGTGATGACGTCATCTTTTTTCGCTAATTCGGTCTATTATTATGCCTTGGCTCCTTTTATACTACTCATTGTTTTTTCAAGCCGTGCTCAGATAGGATACTTAGCAATGCTACCCAAGAGGTTATGAAGCGTTGTGCCTCATATAAGCCACAGTTCTAGCTTTTAAAACTTATTTATAATTTTTTTACATTATTTTACACTATTTCATTTGTATTTGTGAAAACCTGTGTCATAGATGTGGGGGCACTCAACTGTAACAACTGCTTGGTAGTTAGAAGTACTGTGACGTAGTGATGATGTACTCTTATATCTTCAACAAACATATTAAGAAATCTGAGTGCTGGGTAAACAAGGGTAAAGCTCTTCAAACCATCTGTCAATATTTGTAACCACTGCTTGGTTCATCCCATACTTATTCTTCACAAATGTTTACCTGTACTCTCTAAAGTTTCAATCATTGCAGGTTGACTTGTCAATTGTCTGTAGGAGCGAGGGCGCTATCTAAGCATTGTCATCGAGACCAAACTGCATCTTGGTGGGCTACATCAACAGGAAGTAAGTTGATAGGGATTTTTACAATATATATTTTTTGTGAACTTTTCTTAGTAGAAAAATTATCTGTTTCGTTGAATCAATTAGTTGCTTACCGTAGTAACAGTTTCAGCAACTGCTTTGGTCACTTTTCTTATTGTTATTGCTCTTTTATTTCTTTATTTGTTGTTGCTTGATCTATTTGTTTATTATATTGGTGGGATAGGTTTTTATTTTGTGAACATATTTGTTTGTCAAGAAGGTCTTACAACAACGGCTGATTATTCAATCTTTCAGACAAACAATCTTTATTCATTTGCGTCCAATCAGATAACATATAAATGTAGATTTCTGGTATACAAATACTAATTATTTGTGGGAGCAGTTGGTACAGTGGTTGCGTTTCGGCCTCCTAACCTTAAGGCCAAGGGCTTTCAACCTTTGCTAGTTTTTATGCCGAGTTGATTGGCCGAGTGGTTATGTCAGGGGCACCCTATTAACAATCAGCGCTGTAATATCGGCGTTGGTTCAAACAGCTCATTCGTTAATGGTTCCTGGTGGTGGAACAAGTCTTCTCAGATAAGGAATTTTAAACTGTAGGCCCAGTGTACGCATTTGGCTTGTGTGCACTTAAAGTTTGATATTTTTCCAGCAGAGAATCCTTAATATTACGTTTAAATGCTGCAAGGCTTAAAGGCCCAATACAAATTTTAAGTTGAGCTGTTTTAGCACAAAATATGCTGCAAAATAAAAAATAAAAAAAGGTAACATTATTTCTACTTTTTTTTGTTAAGGGCCCTTGTCCTGTAGTTTTAAAATTTGAATTATCTTCAACATTCCGAAGGCTCCCTGGCAGCCTGTGTCAAGTGCTGGTACCAGCTAATGGAAACATTGTCACTGCTCTTAATTTAAAGGGTTTATTTTTTTTAGTTTTTAGTTTAGTTATTTCCTGGTTTAATTCATTTGAGATGATTATTGTGCATAAGGACATTACAGTACAATAAAATAATTGTATCAATTGATAACATAATCTTTGTATAGACTTCAAAAATGGATGCATGGTAAAAAACGTTGATCCAATTAAGTTTACTTTGTATGTATAAATGACATGGAATTACCCTAAAACCTATGAGAAAATATGACTCATGAATTTATTGAATTAATGATTTTTTTTTTAATAAGGTGAAGCAGCCAAAAATGCTCATGCAAATGTCATCCTGAATCGCATACTAGATGAGGCAGTGTGGATCAACATACATTCTCTACCGGTAAGACATAGTCTGTTTTTTATATAGCACCCTCTAACAGTCAGTTAATCCTTTGACAATATTATGAATCCCAAAGTGCAGAGATAGGTAAACAATATTAATAACTCCCTCAAGAAAAAATAACAAGTACAGTATTATCACAATCACAGGGTATAGTGGTAATTATCGTGTCCATAAAACCCACACAGGAAGCGGCTTGAGAGTATAATTATTGGTACCGACTTGTTTAGTTTATTCAACCAATCTGAAAGGATTTAATTATATTTATGCAAATTTACACAATGATGTCGTGTTAATTTTGAGTGCGATACTTTTTGACAGCTCTGACATTAGATAAACAAATATGAACTTGGCATTGGTGTTGCCTATTAACAGACTGCCAACCCATTCACTTTTTGTCTTCAATTACACATTTTCTTTTAGATTTTATCAGGTTTTTTCTCTGTTAAATACCTTTTTGCTGATCACAATCAACATCCCCTCTGGCTGTTGTGTTTACCTATTTATATCCTTTTCTTTATGTATGCAAAAAGATATAATAAAAATTTATAAATACCTTGAAAATGATCAGTACAATATATATGACATGTCAAGATCAGATGGTTTGATATTGAGGGCAAGCATTGTGGTATTTTCTAAAGCATCATACCTTTGCAGTTTCCTTTTTACTACCTTTTCAGATTTGTTAATATTATATGCGCAACGAAATTGAGATAAAAGATTGCGTTTCTGATGTATTTAAATCAGTGATGTAATAGTATAGTATACACTGCACTTTGAATTGTTTCTAGGTGTCCGTATTACAGGTCATTGCACTTATCTGTACTTTTTAAAATATTGCTGTGAAATAGTGTATGAATATTAATCAGCAAGAATAACAGCCTTTGTGACTATTACAGAACTATTGATTAATATTTAGTTTCTCCGTGTACTAGAGGTACAACTTTGAATTTAAAGAACATGTCGACAAGTTGTTTTGCCTTTAAAAGATTTTGGTGGAGATGGTGGTGGTATGGCAAAAACAAACTTTATTTATTTATTTATTTGTTCTTTATACTGGGTTATCGCTTCACTCAAATGTTACTGTTCTCAAAGAGGGCCAAGTTTGTGTTGCTCAAGCCCGACTAAAATTAAACTAAACTTTATTTTATTTGTTTTTTAAAAAATTTAAACTATTATAATTCAAACTAATACACTGTTACATATTATGTATATATTATATACGTATTGTAATTTTTATTAAAATAATATTTTACCATTAAAATTTTTATTATTTTATTATTATTGTTATTCATATTTTTATCACTACCATAGCAAATATTATAAACTTAATCACATTGCATTTCCCTTTTGTACTGTTGTTGGAGTTGTTGACATTGGATGTTTATTATGCACATGTGTACGTGCCGATTCCCCATCCAGGCACTAGCGTACTAATTGACACGCGTGTCATTAATGATAGTACAGCAGCTCTCTCAGTTTGCTACAATCTTAATTATTGTACCATATGTTGGTGATGTGCATGTATTCAAATCTTTTGAGTTGTCACTTATGGTGCAAACTCTTTAGACCTCAAGGTCATGAGTTCAAGTTCTACAATTTTTTCTAGGAATTTTTCTCATGACATTTTAATCATCTTCCAAATTTAGCTTATTTTTAATTTTTGTTTTGTTTTTTTGCATTAGCTTCTATTTGTATTGCTACAGTTTCTTTGCCACCAGTGTGTCTCTGTGCAAAATTTTCTGTTAGATTTACTGCTGAACCATTGTCCTGAATGTTTGCGAAAAAACATAATTTGAAATTAAGAATACTAAAGTGATAGAAAAGAATAATAGGTGTTAATAAACAATTTGATATAGAAATGAATTTAGATATACTAGAGTGTAGTAAAACAATATTTTAAGATAGTAAAATACTAAACTTAGTAGTAGTGGTAATAAAACACAAGAATAGGATAATTTAAGAGAGGACTATTTTGAACTGTCCAGGGTAATGGACCTTTCTAGAAAGTGTTATGATATCTAGCACTTATCGCATGCTAGTGTGATTTAACTGTCGGCAAACCTTTTTGTAAAATCTGTCTTCATTTGTGAATATTGCTTGCTAAGTACATCTCAAACCCCTAGTGGGTGATTACTGTAAGCCAAGGCGTAAAGATAAATGTAATTTGCAATATAACTTTGCTGATAAACGGTGATAAACCAAGAATATTTGTGTCAAATGCCAAGAAAGTTCTCCACCATTTGGACAATAATTAAGAATGTACTTATCCCAAGGGATGAATAGGCTCAGGAGTTATGGAAACTTTTAGCCTGTCTTGCTGGGATTTAGAAATTGCTTTTAGAAAGAAAACATGTTACGTTTACCTTCAATCGTAAGCTTTGCTTTCTTACAAAGTGAACTGTTGGGATAATAAAATAGTTTGCAAAATAAACTTGTGTCACACACTTGTGCTTTCTAATTAGAGCCAGTATATTTCTACTGTACAGCTGACTCATTACAATATGATAATAATATACGTCTTTATCTTTTGGCCAAAGTCCCTCTATTAAGCTGTTACGCTCTGCTGGGGAACAAAATCCTCTTCACGGAATCACCTCTCATCTGACGGTACTGTGTCCTACTCTCTCACATGTAATGCCCCTATACTCTCTGATTTCTTTCATTCATCTTTTTTTCATGTTTGTCTCTCCTCCTGACCTTTCTACATCTACTGTCTCCCTCCTACTGCATTCCTCACATCCTCACCCCAGACCTTGTCCCTTACATTTTGATATTGAGCTTTTTATAATTTTGAAAAATCTTTTTTTGTCATCTTTCTTGATAGTTACTTAATATTAAGTGCCAGGATACCACTATTGAATTAGATTTAAGATAATTTAAGATAAAAAAATTAAATATTTCATTATATATAACTGTTATATGCAGTACTGGAGACATAAAACATGATTTTTATATTAAAATTAAACACTTTTTGTGACCCACATATTCACTAATGTAATGTGAATTTGAATAACAAGTTCAGATAAATTTCCAGTTGATTTTTCCCAGGGAACATCTGTCAGCTTTTGCTGAGTACAAATTCTTTACTAACTCTTTGCCACTTAATCCAGTTGCATGGATTGACATAAATACATCTTAATATTCTCCTATCAAAGTTGCGAAATAATTGGATTTGATTGCCCGGTGGGCTGTACTCCTGACTCGGCCTTGACTAAGGTGTCCTGAAAGCTTTCTATTATAGTGTTGTTTGACAGTGTTGCGGCCTAGATACTGTACAAGTATAAATTCACTAAGTACAGTGACACAGTGTGTACTTTTATCCCCTGACAGGTATACCTTAAGAGCGACTTCTCAAGTATAAACTAATTTTAAGCTGATTTGTAAAGTGACTTATAGGGTTGTATTATTTGTCATCATTTATTTCACATATAAATGTAATAATAATAATTATTGCATTTATATGTATATCCAAAAACACTTACTCATACGTGCATTAGAATACATAATAACAAATTTCAGTGTAACAATGTAATGTTTAAAAATACAAAACATCAAATAAAATCATGCACGACATAGCAGTTGATTTGAGCTGGCTAATTTATAAGGAGCACAATTCTTGAATAAGCGTGGCAATGAATCCTCTGAAATCTGTTATAAGATCAGCGGCACTTCTACGATAAACACTTTTAAAAACTCAATAAACAGGAAGTCATTTTTTTTTGTACCACTCACCGCCAATTGCAAGCTATTTAAATATGGGTTCTCCACTAAATTAGAAGATAAGTGCTGACCTCTTCCTCACATCATAGACTCACAAAATGATCTGATCAAGTGCCCCACCACTTGACTTCAACAATGGACACAAGCCACTACAATTGCTCTATCTACTAATAGACTCCGGCATAGATGATTGTCACTCCAATGCTCTGATAACCAACACGCAAAATGACACTTGATACTCGACGATGCAGATAAGCCAGCTGATCTTCCGTGGTAAACAAACACCACGCTGTCCTTGATTTGGTGCTAGACATTCCGCTATCCTAAAAATGATACAATCTTGTGTCTTTATCATATTTTCCGATATAAGAACGGAACTCAATATGTTGCCAAGTAATCTAGTCGACTGTTGTAATAACCATATTTGTTTTTTGAAATTGTGTTGCATTGTGGATGTTGATCAGATGTCCAGGGTAGTAGGTGATTTATGAAAACTAACCAAATGCATCATAGCTAGCCCATCCACTTCACATTACAATGACCACATCGGCAATTCAGTTTTTTTGTTCCCAAAAAACGAACACAAAAACTTTTATTTATTTATTTTTTATTTATTTATTGCACATCCAACAGTGTATACACCAATTACAGGATGAAAATATAAAATATAAAAACTTACACAATATCAATGGAAAAGACCTAAAGTTATTTTACAGACTCAAATGTGATAGACTTAAACTGAGAGAAACTACAATGAAAAATATCAAATTCAGGATTATTACAAACACAATTATTATAGAACGAAGACAGTCTACCAAAAATACCATTTTTACAAACATCAACACGTGAGAATTGTACATTTAAAATAGGCTTAGAACGAAGTCTACGAACAGGGACATTAAGATAGAAATTAGAAACAATATTACAGGTAAACATTGAATTTAAACACTTATATAAAAAAGTAGGTCATTAATTTGTCTTTTAATCTTTGGAGAAATAATAGGAGTTTGGCAAGGCCAACAGGTTTCTGGACCGAGAAAACGTAAAAACTTACCGTGGATTCTTTCAATTCTAGATGATTGTGTGTCAGATATGGAATTATAGATAACTGAACAAAAATCAAATAAAGG